TTTATAAACTGCACGGGCTTCCTGAGTAGATGCTATGTACAGTGTAGTTTGACTTTCTTTCATACAATCCATTGTTCGGTGTTTAAACACATGATGACACCTTTTTAATCCAATACTAATCAGATACTTACTCTCTTCCAATGTGTAGAAAAATATGACAGATCTGTCCATCAAATTTATGAGTTTGACTAACCAAGAAACATTCTGAATATTCATTTTTAATCAATTTGAATCCAACTTACTTAATTAATTTTATCCCTGTATGTATCTTATCTATATAAGAGTATTAAAATGATGTACAATCATATAAATGAGCTATCAGTTTCCCCACCTTCCATGACGTTGTACAATCATAAGGGGCATTTGATTTGAGTTACTGCACTTAGTGTGCTAACCATTTCTACCATCACTTGAAGAAGACTAAATTTTTGGACTCATGAAGACTGTCATCTTCGCTAGCCAAGAGTTTCCGATCCGAAATCTACTCTACAACATTGTAGATTTCGGATCAGAAACCCTTGGCTAGCGAAGATGGAAGACTGTTGGTCAGCTCATCTATTCTAGAACCCTCTATAAAGCAGGACTCAGGAGAAAGCAAACAAATGACCGGGATATCATTCATCTTTAGTTTTCCTGAGTCAAAGGCTCAAGTGAGATGTCTGCATGATCAGTGGCGTATATTCCTATCTGCTAATGTGTAGGCTAGTGAGAAGTCATAGATTTAACCTGAGGCGCAAAGTGTGGGTAGGCAAGGAGAAGCCCCCCCCCCTCTCGATAGGGATTGGAAGGGGGGGGGGGTCGGTGGGAGCTTTTTCGCGAAGACATCTACGATTGTCATCTACAATTTCACAAGTGAAAATAATATTGGACTTACATCTGTTAATATAAGGAAACTACTCAAAACTAGTTACGACTTCAAAACAACTCGACAGAGTGTGAGGCGATTCCTTATTCGCTATGCATGATCGGGTTGTGCTTGACTAACTTTTTTTCCATATTAAATGCAGCATCGTAATATTTTCGTGTACAATTTATGATAAATTAAAGAGAATTAAATACTTCATCGTTTATTTCTATAGCTTTTATCTACCATATTCTTGTCTCTATGAACGTTCTCGGAAACTAAGACATATTGAAAAATGTATTTATTTAGGATTCTGTGCTATTTTCCAAAACCAAGCCCTTAAAATTATTTTTTATTCATGAAATTAAAAAAAAAATTACGAACTAAATTATTAAATTGAAAGCGGACATGTTAAAATGTAAACGCCTCTCAATCACTAGAAAAAATAAATAAAAGCGATGTAAATATAAATAATATGTGTTGGTTTACACTCTTCTGACCAACTCAAGATGTTATCGCCCATATAACATACTGTCAAAAAGTTCGATCGCCACATTTTCCTATGGAATTTTCAGTTAAACACACGTAATCAAAAAAAAAAAAAAAGAAGAAAAAAAAAAATCTGGATATATGTCAGAATTAATTTTTATGTAAAGCATTTTCCCATTTCATTTGCTTTATTCGCCGAAATCTGCAGGTAAAATATGTTACCTGGAATTTACACATAAAGCCCAGTTTAATCTTTAAAAAAAAATGCTTAGTCCGTGCATGCGTGTTCACCCAAGTTTTCTTCTTTTTTTTTTAAGAAACACTGTACATTTCTTGCCATGGTCTCGTTATCTAGACTGACGTCTTTCGTTATTAACTCTAAAACATTTGAAAATTTCGATCAAGTATTGTCATCACACGTGCACAGGTAAAAACTTGAGCTGTGTATATTGAACCGTATCTAATCCCGTTAGTCCAGATATGCCTACATTCACACGTGTATCAACAGTATGCTGTCTTAAACAGTAAGTCTACAACAATGTACCAGTTTTAATAAGCAAATTTAAACAGAATTTCATGTGCAGTCAGCTTTTCTTCTAGATCTTCAATAAAAAAAAAGTTTGAGTTTGACAAGGAAACAAAAGGGGGGGGGGGTGTAGCACCCGGCATGGGCAAATTATTCATTTTCAAAGTTTTTGAGGACATGCATGGCTGCATATTATTTATTTTCAAGATAATTAAAAAAGGACTATTTATTTCTAACATTTTGACATTATTTATTTCGGAAAACTGTCTTTGCAGTCAATATATATTATATACATTTATACATTGTAGATGGAATTGTAGCTTTCTTAACCGTTTTCTTGATTGTAACTTCCTTCAAAAAGCGTTTTTACACATCGATGGAAAATTTATGTAATAAGGAAAACAATTACGCGCAAAAAATAAAGTAATATTTTGCACTAATTGTGTGCATTTCTACCGGTTACTTTTCAATGTATTTTTCCTAGTGAGCCAAACACCTAAGAAATCTATGTAAAAAAAATTTATAATTCCTTGCAAATAAAAATAAAAACTTATTTTTTATTGTTTGTTTGATTATTCGGTGAAGAGAATTTGTTTGTTTGTTTGTTTGTTTTTCTAATGAAGCAACAATGACAAGAACGTAAAAAGAATGGTAGACGAAATGAAAGCATGAGGGATTTATAAAATCAATCTCATTTGTTTAAAAGTGTGATAAGTGAATATTTAAAATTATATGTAATAATTGTATTCAATTTGGAAAATTTAAAGGAAAAAAAAAACATATGTACGCTTATTCTTTAAAAAAAAAAATACAGAAAGGCCTTTTATGGCGACGCAACCAAAATATTTTTTTCATCTTTGTTATACAGTGTTTGTTGATATGTTCGATTTATTTCCAAGTTATTGAACCGTAAGGCGATGTTGTACAAAATAAGTTAATAAATAGACAACTAAAAAAATTATTTTATTTTAAAAATTGAAAATAGTTCATACAGAAAGTTAATTAAAAAAAGATACAGTTATAAAGACGACTAGTTACATGTAATAACAAAAATACAGCTGTAAAAAGGAAATATATATAACAGTTTTAACTTAAAAACAACTTGTTAAAAATGCTTGCGACACCGTCCTTGCATTTATATAAAATAAAGAGATTATAATAAAGAAATAAACGACTTTATGAAGTAGCCAATCATAAACTAAAGCGTACAGGCTCCGCCCACTTAATTTACATACCGTTCACCAAAGCGTATACCGTTCACAAAACGAACCGTTCCGTGCAAGAAGCGTACCGTACCGTGCACAAAGCGAACCGTACCGTACACAAAACGAACCGTACCGTGCAAAAAGCGTACCGCACCGTGCACAAAGCGAACCGTACCGTTCACAAAGCGTACCGTTCCGTGCAAGAAGCGTACCGTACCGTACATAAAACGAAACGAACCGAACCGTGCAAGTGGTGTAGTAGCACGTTTTAGGGTCTGTAAGTTCTTCACAGATATATATATATATATATATATATATATATATATATATATATATATATATATATATATATATATATATATATATATATATATAGGAAAAATTATTAACATTGATATGCAAGCATCCTAAGGGTTGATTCAAATTTGTTCAAACCATGACCCCCAGGGATAGAGTGGGGGCACAGTAGGTGATAAAAATTTTCATATAGAAATATGTATAGGTAAAAATATTTAAAAATCTTCTTAACATCAGTTACTGCAAATTAAGACATGACTAGTCATTTTAATCTGGAAACACCTAAAGTTAATGTAGATTCAAGCTTTTTATGCCCCCCGTAATCGACAATTCGGGGACATATAGATTTTGCCTTGTCCATCCGTCTGTGTATTCCTTGTGACAAGACCTTCCCTTAGGTACCAAAATATTTGACCTCTTTACCTTGGAGTTTAACCCACTTTTGCCAAATTTTACCATACTTTTACCTTGCCCACAACTTTTGAATGGTTTGGTGCTAAGGCTTTCAAACTTCACATGTGTATTCCTTACGAAAAGACCTTTCTTTGGATACACATATTTCTGACCTCTTGACCTTGGAGTTTGACCAACTGTACAATAACTTTAACCTTGCCCATAACTTTTGAATGGTTTGTACAAGTGTTTTCATATTTCATGTGTATATTTCTTGCGAAAAGACCTTTCTTTGGGTACAAATATTTTTGACCTTTTGACCTTGGAGTTTGACCTACTTTACAAAATCTTTAACCTTGGCCATAACTTTTGAATGGTAGGGCTTTCATATTTCACATGTGTATTCCTTGTGACAAGACCTTTCCTTGCATGCCAATAATTATGACCCGTTGAGCTTTGAGTTTGACCTACTTTTGAAAAACTTTAAACTTGACCATAACTTTTGAACAGTTGGTGCTAGGGCTTTTACATTTCACAGGTATTTTCCTTGTGACAAGTCCTTCCCTTGAGTACCAACAATTTTTACCCTTTGACCTTGACCTACTTTTGAAAAACTTTGGCAATAACCTTTGAACAGTTGGTGCTTGGGCTTTCATATTTTTACATGTGTTTTCTTTATGACAATACCTTCCATTGGGTACCAACAATTTTGATATGTTTATCTTGACCTTGGGAGTTTGACTTGCATTTGAGAATATTTAACCTTTGCTATGATCCACCACATGGGGGAATCTGTTTCACAAACACATCTTGTTTTCAGATTATAACTCCCATTGGTAGAGTTGGGCTAAGTAGGTGATCAAAGTTTTACATATGAACATATAGGGGGAAATTCTTCAGCAAAATAGTTGGGCAATGTTGACTCAGGTGAGCGATGAGGCCTATGGACTCTTGTTACAAGAATTCTCATCTGCTATTGAACATAGCATTTAATTTTATTCAAGGACTTACATACAGTAAAACATGGTCATAGCAAACATGTTTCTAATGAATTTTCACTTATAAGAAGTGATTTTCATTTGCTGTTGTTTTAAAACATTTTATGAACTTAACAGGTATAATGAATCACATTTATATCAATTCAGAATCGTTCGTCCCTGGCACTTCACTATAAGCAAATTTTACTGTATTTTACAGTATTTGTAAATTAAATCCCATTTTCTTGAAATGAAAACAAACACAAATATCAGTTGGATATGCATTCCTCATGTATTTCAACAAGTTATGTACAAAAACACTAAATTGGAATCAAACGATCACAGATTTTGCCTTATAAAATGTGGCTTACAACCCCAAATCCACACTTTTCTCCGGAACAACAAGGAAATATGGAATTTTCCAGTGCAACTGTGAAAAGACAAGCTGTTCTAAAACTATGTAGTGAATAAAAAACAGCTCTTCTTTAGTTCATGTAGTATTAACAAACATCTCTAAAAGAGCAGAGCCCTGGGGCTGCACACCAACACTTGGTGGTGCACGCAAGGGGAGAAACAGCATATACATCATTGTCTGAACTGGATATAACAAATGGTGCAAGATTTGGGTTAATATACTCTATACACTATAATTAGGGAATTAAAAAAGATTTCTATAACATGTATAAACATAACATATGGATCTACCATAACACTACTAAAAGTAGGAGTTATAACAGAAAACACCCTCCTCAGAAGTGAATCATTTACACTCTCCGCAACAGGCATCATCATCATTGGTGTTACATTGGGTTAGATTTACAAAATCTAACCTACACAACAGGCATCTTTAATGGATTTGTATCTAAGGTGATTATTTTCAATCAAAGTGTTTTTTAAAAAAAATGGCTTTTTCATGCACCACGACCATACATGTATAATTTCAACTTCTACCCTAAAATGTGATGAAATTGAAAAAATTGTTCTGTCACATTCAGTTTAAGTGATAAATATTCCTTACATGCAAATAAAAGGCTTATAATAAAAAAAGTTTTAAGATACTAATTGTAGGTTGGGTATACTTGTATACACAATGATTACATTTCTGAGTATGACCATAGTATATTAATTTCTACTCTATTCAAAGATAACATTCTAAACTCCTCTATTCTACAGTCCTTGATGAGCATAATTACATCGCATACAATTTAAATCCCTGGTTTGAGTACATGGTAAACTGTAGCTTTGAGTAAACATTAGGTAAAATCTTTGAGGAACTGTATAATACATGTAAGGTACTCCCTCTATAAATACTAACACACGTACCCTGGTCTTTTACAATGAGAATTGCATTTTGATCGAGTGCATTGCAAAGAGCAGCCATTTCTGTATTTGAATGATTTGAAAAAAATTTACACATGTATGCTTATCTACCCATGTATTATTTTCCAGCAAAAGTATGATAGGTCAAAACAGATCTTGAAACTTCAGCATATATGGTCTTTGTAGTTTAAACCTTACTTCTGAACATGCACACATAAAATTTATAATCTCAACCCGTAATAATTGGGTATTCTAAGTCGCAAAGAATTGTACAAATGACAGTAATACACACACGAATAATGCCACTTGCAGACATCTGGAAAGCGCCCTCTCTAGAGATGAGAAACACACAGTAAAATTGAACATTGGGAGAAAAAGAAAACTGTGCAAACATGTTACACAAATGTATATGTACAATTATACAGGTTAGTCAAGATGATTGAAAAAAATTAGTAATAAAAGAAGGGTGCTAAAATAATGATGCAGGAAAAAGATGCAAATGAAAGACACTGTAATAATTCTACCAACTATCAGAGTATACAAGAACAGTGGAATACCTGGACTAGACTTTAAAAAAAAAAAAAACAGTACCTGAATTTATGTCATGATTTGAGGAGTAATAGAAACTGATTCAGCTCCTATCTGAACAAAGGCAACATGTTACATGGAACACGATGAATGGTTTTCATGAATGAAAAGTAACAGTAATAATGAAATTGATTTCATATTAATGAGGGGGAAAATGGGCAGTAATGAATACTAATAACAAGTTCTACATTCCAGTGAGCATATTTCTAAATATAATGCCTTAATTTTATAAATAGAAGTCTGGCTTAATAAATTGCCAAGTCAACGAAGAATTTTTCAAAGCATTTTTTTTTTAAAAAACAGTATCACATAAGCAAGTGTTATCAACATGAAAGTCAATAAAAATGGACAAAAAATAAATGAAAGGATTTCATATATCCGCAGCTGTTAAATTAACAACTAAGAAATTTGATCAAAATAAAATACTGGATTTCGATTGATTGCACCAAAAATCATAAAATAACAAATCTCAGTTTCTAAAACTAAAAAAAAGATATTATGCCATTATTCTGTTAAACTCTTTACATTTTATAAATGATAACAGTATAACACAAACAGAAAAGAATCTTCCTACTACAGACATAAGAATCAATTTTAGTCACCATATTTTATTAAGTTTTGATCAGAAAATTTGTGTCCAAACAGACTGCTGTTTAAATTCAAGGAATGAATTTAAAATTTATCGAAGTTCTTCAAGTACAACCTGGGTTGGGGTAGTTTATGATTTAAAAACTGCTGAGCAGTTTTTCAATTTATAAAAAAAGACTAAACTGTTCCAATGCCAGGTTATTGGAGTATAACTTGGGAAATTATTAAATTAATTCCTTAATATCATTCAATTTTCTAAGTTAAGAAATAAGGTGATTTGTACAAAATGAAATTTAAATATAAGTGAAGCAGATTTATAGAATTAGTATAGATGTTTATAATCTCTGTCAACTGTGGATTATTTATATCATACATGGAAAAAAAGCTGTTTAGAAAGGCATCCACAAACTATCTGATCAAAACTAATAATAATAAGTAACTCTCGGTAACTGACTAATACCTTTCAATCAGTAATAATAAATTCCTGAATAAGGGAGATTCAACATTTTAGAAAAAATCTATAACAAAAAATGAGATTCAAATAAATGCTGTTTAAAAGACCATCTGATAAGAGGAAAAATCTTTAAAATATTGAGTAATTAACAGCAAAACATGTATAAACTAGGGGTCTCTGATGAGACTGTAGCTCTACTGGATTGTTTTTATAAGCATTTGGACTTGAAACTTAGCAGCAATGGTAACATAAATGAATAAGAATTATGATTCTTGGTTTAGATTTACTTGACTACTTGTGTACCAAGATTTAATTAAATATAGACTAAAAACATAGGATTTATGTTTTAAATGAATTCTAATATTATCCAATCTATAGTTACACCAAAAAGTGTTCATCTAAATCAATACCCAATAAGCAGAACTATGTATCTTTGAAAAGTCTACTTGTGCACTAAGTCATACATTGAAACCAAACCATCCGACCAAAACAAGAGAAGTGTTTTTTAAAGAATTTCATAGAAATTTCTATTTTTTGTAACCTATTTAATGAAATCAAAAACCAATATATTATGTACCTAATAGTGTGGTGTAATTGTGTACCAATTCTAATTGAAATCGGACAAAAATGTAATAGGAGTAGCTTTTTGAATGAATTTCACAGAAATTCTAATTCTAATACCATGGCAACACCATTCACTAAAAATCAAAACCTAATACGCTGTAGGTGGAGTAGCATTTTGAAAAATTGTTTACAGACAGACAGACGGTTAGACTTCCTGATGATGGACACCTTACTAATGCATAAACTCCTCTGGTCTTTGACCAGTTGAGCTAAAGATCATGCAAGTGTAAATGCAGAAAAAGTATGTACAAGAAACAAAAAACACAGTTGTATATGATATGAATGATAATATTGTGCTAGTGATGCATATACTGATGGAAGTTACTCAAAATATTGTATGACAACCACCTGCTACTAAATAAAAATAGTAGAAGATACAATGATGAGTTTTTCAGCTATACAAGTCCAATTACTTTGAAAACTGCATTTAACTCAAAATAATTAAGCTTTATGAAAAATCACAAGGCTCCTCATGATACATTTTCTTAAAAAAAAAAATTAAATCAGGTATTTCACATACACAACGTAAGATTATACATCATGAAGGGCACATAAATCTACAATTAACCCATTTTCACCATTAACACTATTCATGTATGAAAAAAAGATTAATAACACTGAAATAAACGGACAATAACAGTAGATTCACATGAGTACAATTGTACAGATATGAAATAGGACTTCTGTGCTACAACTATTGTATACAGGCAAAATTTCGTCCCTGTTTTATTTTCGCTCCTTTCACCCTTGTCGCAGTAGGGCGAATTCAAAGAAAACGTATGGCATTATCTCTTAAAAAGAACTGTGTCTGGGTGAATTCAAAATGAGGGAAACCTGTTTGCAGGTGTGAAAGGCCGAAAATAAGATGGGGCAAAAATAACCCTGTATACAATATTTGGAATAATAATAAATATTATTTATTTTTAAAAAAAAAAAAATCTGCACATATTGTAAAATTGTTAAAGCTTAGGTTTTCCCATTTTGTTGTTTTATTTTGTAACCTTGATTTCATTTCCAATCTTAAACCTAAAAAAAAAATCTTCCTAAATGTAAAGATTTGGAAAATAAAAATGTTGATAACAAAATTTTTAAAAAAATTATGAACTTTTTACATGAATATATTAAGAGTATAAATTGCATTGAAATTCTGCAGAAATTTTCCATGCACGATTATAATACACGGGATTTTTTTTTCTATACTTCCTAGTTATTTCCAAACATGTATTTTGAATGTGTTTTGCTCTTCAGACAGCCTGGTATGTGTACGTGGTTTAACTGTGTTAATTCATTCCCATAAGCAAAACTACCAGAGGAAAGTTTCGGCAGTACTGTACACATTATTTTGAATGAGCAGACTGTACTGGATATTCTTTTTTTTTCTTTTTCTTTCGCACAGTATATCAGCAGAAGTTGCCTCCCTTCCTTCAAATTGCATGAAAATCCTGCTAATTGCTCTGTCTGAAAATATATAAAATAAAATTCATGTTTAAATATAATACACATACACTGTACATTAACAACTGAAAAGTAAAATAAATTGTAAGTGTGTTATAAAATCATATCAATACATTTACATAAATTACCACTAGATATGAACATCTTATGATAACTGGTTTCTGTGATGATTATGGAAAATGTGAACAATCATCTGTTTAGAGATGTGCATCTTTTGGACAAGGTTTGTACATTTTGGCACTTCAGCCATACTTTCATATTTATTAAATGTGTAGGCTATATAGTAAAAAATAAATGATCCTGAGAATTTTGATCAACAATTTCTGTTTGATTCTCATGAGCTGTCCTGTTCCTATGCATGCCATTAACATTATGAGAGATGCACTGCCCCCTTTGTTCCAACCACCCCACCTTCCCAATCCCTCAGGACCTATTTCCATTAAACTGCAAGTTTGACAACTTAAAATTAAAAAAAATAAAAAAAGAGAAAAAAAGAGAGAGTCAAATAGGCAGAGGGACAGAAAATACATTTAATTACTGGATTTGCACTAACCCACCATCTTTTTTGCACAAATAATTTCTTTTTTTTTTTAAAGTTTTGCTCAATTTTGCATGATCACATATATACGCAAAAGTACAAAGTGCAAAAGTACACCATCTCTTTAAAAATAAATTAAAACCTCTGATCAAATAGCAATACTTGCTGCATAATGTACTTTTGAAATCTTAAGCTTATAGTAATGGATTAAAGAATAATTTATAATAAGGCTAAGTTCTGAAATGCAAATCCAACACTGACATTGAGATTTCTTTTTTTCAGATTAATGCACCGTTGTCTTTACAGAATTTTGAGCCATGCAGATAAAACAATCCCTATTAAGCATTAAATTGAAAGGAATAAGGACATTAAAATGGAAGGAACAAATAGTTCTCATAAATAATAAATTAAATCTCTCTATAAATTATTGTAGTGGTCAAGTCAAGTGTATAATTTATAAAATGTATTTGAATTCTCCAGGGATTTATCAGCCTATTTTGGGAAACGCCATTTTTGGGGAATTGGGAAAAAATTATCGGCTTTTTGGTGAAATTGGGAAAAATTAAAAATGTTGCTTAAATCATGTATTCAGGAGTAATTCATTTAACATTTCAGCATGAACTCTAATTTGGGCAACCAAACAGACTATTATATATGATCCAACTTCATACAAGATCAATTATGAATAACAGACTAATAAAAGTAAAATTGACTTCAATGAGTATAAATTGTTTATACAACTTAGGGTAGTACATGTGTGTATGAGATTCCAGTTTAGGTCATTACAAAATCTTTCTGGAGAATATAAACCTCCTGCAAGTAATCATTTTCTCAAATCCCTCTTTTAATATGTATTAATGCATTGAAAATATAATTTTCTATTTGAAATAATGCCTACAGTCCTTACCATTCACACGTAGATCAATTGAGTAGGTAGAAATAACTTAATAAATCTATATAATTACACAATATCACCATTTTCGGAAATTCGGATTAAAAGTTCGCGATGTTTTTACAGTGTTTTTAAACATGTGTTATGACTGTAGCTTTGCTAAATGACTTAAATAGATGAAAATTACAGACAATCTGACAATTTTCCTTGTGTTTTTCCAAGATAATTAAATATAAAATCATTGTTCACCAATTGGGAAAAAATACTGCCAAATTGGGAAAAACTGAACTCATTTTCAATTGGGAATGGGGCCGAATTTCGGCCCCTGAGAAGGTACTGATAAATCCCTGTTCTCTTAGTACATTATTTATATGTAACAATTGTTTATAAGGTTTTATTTGCATAGATTTTGAAGTCTCTTTCAATGTCTATGAAACCAGCTGAAATAAATTGGTGCAGAGCTTCTTTTAGCACTGAGCTCACAAAAGGATACTTCTTCCATATGAGCATAATGGCAAAGTCCATTTTTTGCTATGGGAAACCCCAAATAATGTAAAATAGGAGGTGCACAATGGCACTATATAATATAAAGATTCTGTGAAATTGTCATTAAATTCTGATCAGTGGTATAGGAATTATATAAAGTTGTGTATGAGGAATGGGTACCCACCATCTTACAGACAAAATGGTAGGGTCCATGTTTTGCTAAGGGAAACCCTAAATGTGTGTCTGATGGAAATGAAAATAGGAGCTGTACAATGGCAAAATGTAATACAGATTCTTTGATCAGACAGTTATTTGGGGTTTCTCATAGCAAAATGTGGACTCTGCAATTCTTTCTATAACATTGGGGGTACCCATCTCTTATCTGCAATTCCATCCATACCACTGAATAAAATTAAATGAGACTTTTCACAGAATCTTTATTACATAGTGCCATTGTGCACCTCCTATTTTTGGTTTTGATTGGACAGACATAGCAAAACCTGGACATGTCATTCTTTCTATAACATTTGGGATATCCATCTCTTATCTGCAACTCCTCCTATATCACGTACTGAATAAAATTTAATCAGACTTTCACAGAATCTTTATTACATAGTGCAATTGTGCACCTCTTATTTTATAATCTGATCAGACAGATATTTGGGTTTTCCCGTTGCAAAAAAGGACTTTGCCATACTCGTAGCAAAAAAAGGACTTTGCCATTATACTGTAAAAAGGGGGGGGGGTTATCATTTTGTGAGGCTAGCACTCACAGTACCTCTAGTTTAATTCTACATTGATAAAATACTTTTATGAACTCTGTGAACTTGACCTTGTCTCAATGACCTTTGATCAGGGTCATGCAATATGACCCTTGGAAGCTATTTCATGATAAAGTTATAATGTTATGGACAAGATCTTAACCTTGTGCAAATTGGTACTGAGTCAAGGCAAATTTCTGGACACAAGCTGTAAGTCTCTGAAGTTTCTTGGTTATAAAGTTATGCCTGCCAGAAACTTCAATCCTCAAACACAATTTAAAAACAAAAAACACTTCACACTAAATGAATGTTCAACATCCAAAACACCTGGTCTGATAGTTTGCATCTTTACATGCCTGGTCAAGCATGTTTGGCCCAGGTAGGCTTATTGTTACTATTGGTTGTAACAGGAGAGGAGAAAAATGCGACGGACCAGACAGGGATTCAAACCCGGGCCCCCAGATTCTCCAGTCAGGTACGTGCTCTACCAACTGAGCTATCTGGCCACCGGCGATCGAACCCCTCTGACCACCACATGGGAATGGACATTTGCCAAATAATTAATTTATTTAGCTTCCTTTTTGATCATCCAGAAAAATGAAGGTCAGATGCAGCATCTGAAACTTACCTGGTAGTCTGCATCCCTAGATGCATCAACCATGCAAAATTGGTCACCATAAGGCTTAATAATAGTTTCTTGGCAATGAACTTCCTTAAAAGGCTTGAACCTTTGAAACCATCTGTAAAATGTAGGTCAGATGCAATATCTAGTGCAGGTCTAGTAGTGTGCATTCCAAGATAAATCATTCATGCAAGTTTTTGTCCAGGTATTTAAGGTTTATTGCGTGGACCCTGGGGTCCATGCAGAAAATAAGTGAGATGAAGCAAGATGCTATGGGGAAAATTGACTTGCACATGCAGATGTAAATGTTCATCTGAATCAGGATTGGGAATCAATCCATGCTATAATCAAAGTACTAGTCAATAACTTGTAGTTACTTAAAATTTTGGCATAAAATTTTACCTGGGAAGCCAATGCAGGAGGATATTCAATAAGATAATAATCATCTCGACTTTTAAAGGTGATCGAGCTAAAATATATCATGATAAATATCTAGTAAATATTATACACAAAGAAATAAACAATTTGAGATGGTGTTTTTAAACAAATCTATAATGTAGAAAAAAACAAACAAAGAACACCTAGTCCTATACATTATTAATATGTAAAACAAAAAGTTACATCAAAGGTCCCCCCCCCCCTTTACACACATACATACACAAAAGAGACTTTGTTCAAGGTACAATTACTAAAATTAAAAATTATGTCAAGATTTTTTTTTTTGTCTTATTCTAATGACTGAAAAACCGTATTAACAATCTTCAAGCAAAAAAGTACATCAATTGATGATAAACATTTACACAGAACTTTTTATAATCCTATTCGATCATTAAGCCACATCGAAATGAAACAAAAATTGATCAAAAACAGTGTAATGCCAAGTCCTTACATGCCTTATTTATCTTTTTCTGGCACCTTGCACACAGTATAGATTTCCCTTGATTTGCTGGGCTTATATCTCAGTATAGCTCGGCCTGTATGTGATCTTAACACTAGAAATCAATATTCCCTGATACATAAGCATCAATTTTCTCTCCAATAGGCTGAACTGGAATGCAAATATCTGTCATTATACCGTACTGTAGTGAATTGTTCAGAATTAAAACTCTCAAATAATGAAATACAATATCAGATGTTGAAATTTTAAGATGCCAGTCTGTGTACATTGACTTTACATTTTTTTATCCGGAAAATAAGCTCTCTAAATATCGTAATGCTGCAAACTCTTTTAACTAATTTAAAAGAATCTAAAATTGATGGATATTTTACATTTATCCAAAGCTATACAGAGCTACAGAACAGATTAATTTCAGCCAATGATTTACTTTGCTTTCATACCCAGTTAATGACCTAGTTAAGCTAGTCAGCAAGAATACTTCTCAAACATCATTTTCCTGAGTGATAGTTACTGTGGCTGACACTTGACCACACTCCAAAATGGTCTTTATGATTCTCTAAAGCGTTGTCCCTGACATATAAAAAGTACCTTCATTTTTACCATACCAATGTATATGTTAACTGAGAGAGGCTTTCAGCACTTACTTAACATCAAGTAGCTCACTAATTGACATTCAGACTCTGTACATCTGCGTTTTGGAGCTAAACTCTGGGATTATTTTTGATACAGTATTCTTCAAAAATTCAGCATTCTCATTACTCTGTGGATTTGTAAACAACTTTTACCAAGCACGAACCATTCCATTT